CTAGTGAAGACAGGAGTGACCTGCGATAAGTAGCTCTCTAGTCAGCAAAGCACTGCCTTCGTTATATAATGCAGTGTGGGATCTAAAACAGGAGACAATCCTCTGGTTTATTTATAAATACAATTTAGAAAGCAGTCAGTATAATTTCAATCTCTGTGGTACTTTAAAAGAAGAAGTGATGTAAGATTTGGGTAAGCTAATGCTTTAAAAACATTATGTGATTTTATCAGTATTTTCTAAATAGTGGATTAGATGTTAAAGAAAAAACTTCAAGACAAAGGACTTTAACACCCCAAAAAATCCATTTGTTCTTCATCATTTATTTTCAATTGGATGACACCTAAAACTTATTTTTCCATTCTGTTTGTTTTTAGATTTCTCTCCTGTAGGTTCTCCTTTAAGGTCTCAGTTTTTGTAAATATTAATTATAGCACAAAAATAATTTTGGATTTTGCTATAAGAGAGAACTGAATAAAAAACTGCTTGTGCAACCCAGATATTTCAAACAAAATGGGAAACTGAGTATCTTGAGCTTACTTTTTCTCTTGAAAGTTAAGTGGTTTATAAAATACTACCTCTTCTAGCTCCTTCTTCCCTGAGCCCCAATTTTCTCTAAAAACATTTCTAGTTTTTCCATGGTGTTTAAAACATTAAAGAATATAAGTATTTTCTAACAGAAAGACATTGGTTTTGTACAGTTTTTCAAAATGGCAACATGTTTACTGTCTCCCAAACTAATCATTTCTGAGTATTTGTTGAAGAATAAAGACAACATAAGAATAAAATATAGGGCCTTTCTGGTGGTGCAAGGGGTTAAGATGCAACCTATGAAGCTATCCATAGCCACTGCAGCACGAGTTCAATCCCTGGCCAGGGAGCTACCCACATGGCGCAACCAGACCTCTCCTGACTCACCCGCTGCTCCCCTCAGCAGTATATTTCAGTCAGTCTGCCTGTTCGGCTCCCCACTCTGTCTCTGGTGAATCCTCTCACCGCCCCCCCACATCTCTGGCCTGTACCCCACTTCTTATATGCATAAATACATAAATCTTTAAAAAAAAGAAAAAGAATAAAATATGCTGCCCAAATACATATCAGATTGAAGGACTTTGAAATGCTTTGGGTTTTTTGAATCTGAAATTCTACCTAAAAGCCCTGAAAACTGTTTCTTGCAGGTGCTTACACTCTACCCTCAAGCTACTGCTTCCTACCATCCAACCTATGTTGATGAACAACTAACAAGTACAACAGAAATTTAAATAAGGGAGGCTAGCCTAATAATGGACCAGACACATCACTCAAGCATTTAGGGAGGGGTTCTTCATATGACACTGCACAGACATAATAAAATCACCACGCAGTTCCCAAACTTTCCCTCCTTAACAACTTATTTTGATCTTCCTAGCCAAAAACATAGCTAAACCTTCCTATCGCAATTACACTTTTGACCTTTACAACTTCTTGAGGTAGTAATGTGCTCTCTATATCTATTAGGTAATTCCTTTTATTTGTCTAAAAGTGATCTAATCTTGTCTTTTATCTAAAAACTAAAAAATAATTCCCTATCTCTACTATGTTGGGATTTGGCTATAAAATATGTATGTATCCATCCTACTCAATGGCCCTCATTATTTTATTTTGTAGACTTTGAATCACTGTTACAATTTGAAATGCTTTCCCATAACAGACTGAGTCAACTGAATAAGGAAAATAAAAATCCCATCTCAAAAAGTGTAAAATAACAGCAAATAGGCTATCGTGCCACTCTAGGGCACAGAATAGAGCACTATTATTCTAGGAAATTGCAACTGAGGAGTTTGGAACTTTATGAGGAAATCCTCGGGTTTAAAAGCTATATTACACTTCTTAGCATTTTGTTCTGCATCATCAAGATGTTCTCTGATGGATTTCTAATTGGCTGAGATTTGAGTTCATTGATGTTACCTATGGCCAACTAAATCCTAAAATCCTAATGCTTTCCTTTTGTACTTTTTATATCCATTTCCCTTTCATAATTCTCTCTCTCCTCTCTCTCTCTCCCCTCTTCTCTCTCTCTCTCTCTCCACCTCTATCTTTTATTCTTCATATATGAAAGAAAGAGAGGTTTCTTCCTCTGTATCTATCATTGCATCTGAATGGATGCAAAACTGTCTTTATCCATGTGTATCTCTCTCTATATGTTCCTATGTTCACCTGACTCTTAGTATAAGAACAAAATCTTTCCATAAGAAATAAACGATACTGTATCAGAAAGAGAAGCATTTCGTGGGACAAAGGTAAACAGAAAATCCTAGGCTGTCTTTCTTCAATTCTGAAGTACGTTGGGAGTGCTGGCTCCTTTTCTTTCTTTTACCACTAAAGCTCTACCAACACTTCACTTTCAATGTTGTTAAGTTAGTGAATAATGAAATCTTCACAGTGACAAACCCAATCCATCTGTGAGAATCCTGAAGGGGATTTTCTGTTAGTTTCAATTAAACAATTTCCAGGGATGAATTTTTCTATTTACCTGCCAAATCATATAGAAATGGCAACAACTGTGGGATACTGTGGGAATGTATCAATCAACTTAATACCGTTATTCTCAGTTTCCAAGGTTCTTTCTGCTAAGTTGGTATTGAGATTTCCCAGTATTTCTTAGATACATGTGCACATATATTTACCTCAAATGTCTAGCATATTTCAAAAAAAGCTCAGAGGTTTTGAGGAGTGGTATCAAAAGCTAATCATAAGCAATTAGAGGTTGTATTTAAAATGCCAAGGCAGATAAATTTTCATTCACACTTGGTGATATCCATGGAAAGAAATGTTAAGCCAAAAAAGAGTTATAAACATGCAGTGTAAAAAAGATAAAACATTCATTAATTTGGACAATAGATATAAAATGGAGGCAACAGAAGCAGATATTTCTAAGTCACATAAGCTAAATCTTAAGTTCATGATAAACTGGATCATCAATCTAGTATGTATAAGAATTTCCAACCAAAGGTATTAAATTACTAAAGTTTAGTGAAAGAACTCTTATTTCTTCTTCTCTACCACACAAAGCAACAGAGGACCTATGGGTTTTATTTTTTTAAGGCCTTCTCTGCAAAGCTCTCTCACAGACCTTCTCTGAAAAGCTCTCTCACAGCTATACATGGAATTGATATAGCCCAAGATGAAAAGCTAAAATAAGAAAAAGCTAGTAACCTTTAAATTTCCCAAAATGGTTCTTTTAAGGTAATATCGGCTTACACTGTGGGTCTGTGTATTATTAATATAAGAAGGTAATATATAAATCTAGAAATTGCCTACCATTATGAATTTATATTTATATTATCATTAAAAAATCAAATGCACATGGGACATGTTACATTGGAAAGGCTAAAAATATTACAGGTATTTAAGACCTGGCATAGAAAGTATTTTTTTCCATCTTAAAAAGTTTGAGCTATGCATTGACTAAAGTGGAAGAAATAAAGTCACAAGCCTCAAATTAAAATGCCAAGATTTAGGATAACACTTTGGGACTCTTACCTACATAGAGTACCCCAAATCAGAGAAAATATTTATAAACCCTAGTTTTAGAAGAAACCCTAATCTAAGAATTAGTCCAATCTGCCAACTCAGGGAAAGCATAATTGTGCATTTAATTATTTATTATCATTTAAGTGTGTGTCTGTCTTGCCCACTAGTCAGGGAACTTTTTGAGAACAGAAGTGTCTTAATCACTTTTTGTTCAAAGGACCCCACACAGTGTCTGTTGTAAAAAAGTGCCCAAATAAGTACCGTTTCAATAACAAAATAAACAAGGGGTCATGGACCTGCATACAGTATTTCTATGCTTTGGTCCCAACTCTACTGTAAGGAATCTCAAAATAAAATAACAAGTGTCTGAAAGGAAAAACATATATAAACTTTAAAGGATACTTACATATTTAATTTATAAAACTGAAAATTATATAAAAATGAAAAACAAGTGGAGGATAAGGTTTCAGTAAAATGTAAAGTTTATAAGGTATTAAAATGTTACCTTATAATACATTTCAATATAAAACCAAAGAACTCTTCCATTCAGAATATCTTGAAAGAGATGAATGCATAGTAGTTTATTTCTTTTAAAGACACTTTAAAGAAAACCTTAACATCAGTGGCAAGGTGGAATGGCATTTTTGGAATTCTTTCTTCAGTTGCCCTAAAAGCACACTAGCTATTGCCTCCCTTTTACATTTTTCTTTCTAAGTCAAATCAGATATAGCATATAGATCAATATAGACCACCAATGAGAAAAAAAGAAGAAACTTTAGACACAAATATGACCATAGTAATTATCTTCTCATTTTTCAAGCCCTTTTTACTTTAAATTTATTTTTAACTGATGTAATATTGGGGTACTCCCATCAGGTATTACCACCCTAATGCACCCACATTCCCCACTCACCCACATTCCACCACCACAGACCATTGTCCAACACTAACTCTTATAGGTTCAACTCCATCTACTCTCCCAACACAAGGCTCCTTTCAGCCATACCCATTGGGCCCAAAAGCTGTACCAAAGACTTCAATCTCATTCAGTGGCCACTCTCACAGCCATTTTCAACTTGAGAGACACCCTGGCACTGAGATTAACTCTAAGAATGTGATCAGTCTCTGCAGCATACTTAGGGGAAAATGTAGAAGAAAGATGAACAAGAAAGCTATTCCTCCCCACAGGGAAAGTCTATTCTCATACCTACACCCTACCCACCCCCTCCCTTTGCTTCTTCCAGTTCGGGGCTCTGGACAGGTGGGAGAGGGGTGAGTACGAGATGGGGAGACGATGCAACTAACTTTCCTCCACCTCCTCATTCCAACTCCCACCCGAAATCAGATCCATCTAGTAATAGAGGCCACCAGGTAGGGCTTTCTGAATCCCCCTCCCCCCTTGGAACAGAGCTGGAATGGGGAGGATGTGGGGTGCAAGTGGGCGGGATGGAGGTTGGGGGGGGGGTGTTCAGAACTGCAACTCTTCTTACCACTGGAGCGCCTGACGATGTTCTCCAAAAATGTGTTCTGCGGTGCCACCAGCCCTCTCTTGCCCCCCGGCATCCTGGGTCTGGAGAGCGGCGGCCAGGATCCGCGGCGGGGGAGGGGGGATGCGGGAAGAGGTTGAGGAAGAGGAAAAGGTGGAGAAGATCGAGTCTGAAGAAGAGGGGGCGCGGCGGCGACGACGGGGGCCCCTGACTGTGTCCCCAGCCCGACCTGGATGAGCTGCTCTGGGGAGGAGGACCAGGCAGTTCATGGTAGTAGCGCTCCCCCGGCCGCCGCTGCCCAGACTGTGGCGGTGCCGCACACGGGGCTCGGAGGCTGCAGGCTCGGCGGGGCACAGTGCGCCTGCGCCGCCCCCGCTGTCGCTGTCCCGCCGCTGCTGGTGCTGAAGCTGCTGCTGAGGCTGCTGCCGCCGTGGCGGTCGCCCAGGCGCGGGCTCAGCATCTCCCCCCCAGAACGGAGCCCCGGGAAGCGGGAACAGCCAACTCAAACCTTTTTGTCCCAGTCCTTCTTAATCCGGACCAAGACCCCTTTACTGCTTTTCTCTCCTTCTGTTCCAGCCCACCCTCTAGCGCAGCTGGATCCAGGCAACCCAGCTGAGCCCAACTTCAGCCGGGCTGTGCGCCTAGTGGCCGCTCCTCTCTCCCGGGAGACGGAGGCAAACGCTTGCGGTCCAGTGGGGTGGTTGAGTGGGAGAGGAAGTGCGAGAAGCAGACAGGATGCCTGAGAGGAGGAATGGGCAGTCAGAGGGATCACATCTCGGCTTCTAGCTCCCGGGTCCCGACACCCGGCTGCTCCCGAGGACTCGGCTGCGGGGCGGAGGTGTGAATCCTCCCCCGATCCAGCTGAGGCGGAGCGCCGAGGAGGGACTGACTGGGCGGCGCGCGGGGACGCAGAGCAGCCACCTGACGCTGCTACCGCCCCCCTCCGGGCTTCGGTTCTCAAAGCTAAACTGAGGAGCGTGGAGCATCTGCCCAGACCCTATGCCCCCGACAAGGTGCCAGATAGGGTCCAAACGCAGCACCCGCGCCAGGAACCGCTACTGCGCCCAAGGCTGGGTCGGGAGCGCCTGGAGCGTGGACCCGCCTAGGGGAGCTTTCCCCGGATTGCGGAGCGCTGGAAACCAGCGGCGATCCCGATCCTGTCGCAGCTGCAAAGTTGCAGAAAAGGTTGCACTTTCGTGAGAGAAGTAGAGGGAGAGGGTGAATAATTCACACCCGAGAGAGGGGAGTTCAACGGGCACTTTGCAGTAGAAAAGCAGCAACAACAAAGCTGCGCAGAAACAGAGGGACGCGGGTAGAAATTCAGTCCCCCCAGGCGCCCGCGGTCGCCAGCCGCAGTGCAACTATTCCAACAGAGTCCAAAAGCCGAATCTACAGTGGAGAAAGAAAATGGCCTGCAGGGGAATGGAGTGGGGAGAAGTAGAAAGAAAGGAAGCGCACACGCCAGAAGACCTTTTACCTAAAGCAGTGGTTCTCAAAGTGGTCCTGTACTGGCAGCATCTCCTAACAACTTGTTAGGAGTGCAAAATTAAGAGCTCTACCCAAGAACTAGGCAACCAGGAATTCTGTTGGCAAAAGCCAACAAGCTCTCTGGGTAAATATGGCGCACCCTCAAGTTTGAGCAGCACTGGTCTGGAGGCTTTTCCCCTAGAGCGCTCTGGGCCTTTGGAGAAAAGACAGAGTCAAGGAGTTGGAGACGGTGGGAGGGAAGCTCTCTGTGTCTGGGTCAGCAATTGGTGTCAAGGAGAAGTGTTGAACAGAATTGGCTAGGGCGTCTTCTATTGCTGGGATCAGAATATTCTCGATAACCCCTAATAGGAACCCCTATTAGGAATGGTTAAGACCAGGTTGATGGAAATAGCAGGAATGACCAGGCAAGGGCTTGAGGTTACATACTGCTTTGAGCCTGGCTGCCTGCTGGAGTGAGGAAGAAAGGAGAGGAGAGGGTGGTGTCTGACTTTGGAACCCCCTAGATTACCAACAACTGGCTTGTAGTTACTATCACCCTCTCTCTGGAGCTCCTGGTTTAGGGCTTTTGCCTGAATCCAGAGACAGATGAAAACACAACTAGGATCCAGGTTTTAGTTTAGGGTCATTATTGCCCTTTCCTCTCTGACATTTCCACCTACTCGCCCAGAGCTTGGGCTGTTGAGAAAACTCAGAAGGTTGACTCAAGAAAAAGAGCAGTTTGTTCTGCTGGGATTCTTTCCACACACAAGAAAAGAGGGGGAGGGGGGGGCTATCAAGAGACTCCATGAAATAATAATAGGCTAGACTAGCTTCCCATCAGAATCACTGCTGGCCATGCAAACTTATCTCCCTACAGTTAGAATGTCTTCCCAATGCATTGGAGTGTCTGGTGCAGATTTTATCAGAGTGGTTGCTTGCTACAGGCAGGAAGGTGTCCGAGATGTAGCTGAGGTTGTAGCTGCCTCCATGCAGTTGACTGGGTGTGTGTAAGCAGGCAAGGGAATAGGAAAGGTGTCCCTAAACACACAAAAGGATTTTCCCTGGCTGGTGGTATTGAATGATTTCTGTTCATGACAATAAACTAGTGATCCTAGACTAAACAGCCATTCACAACCTGGGATGATCTAGGCAGACAGGCAGACAGATAGATATTTACATTATACTTATATATTTCATAAGTTGCTGTCCTGGCCTTGTAACATGACATGATAATTCCATCACCATAATTAACAGGAAATATTTCAAATCTATATGTTCTTTTGCACATCATCAGCTGCCCACATCTCGCTTCTGGGTATTGACATAAAATCACAGCTTCCCAGCATTTCCCATCTAGTATAAATATCCCTGTTCCCAATCACTCCTCTGTGGGTGTATTAGCTCACACTTCCCAAAGAGGAAACTCTTTTGGACTCCATTAAGACACAGTCACACAATTACTGGTAGAATGCCCCCATTTATTTGCATCTGCAGACTTAATTAAAATGACATTTATCCTTTCTTCTTGTCCTTAATAACTTCATAAGATTATCACTTTTGTATTATTTTAATTATTGTTATAAATTGGTAGCTATAAAGTGCAAAATTTTTGACTTACACATTTTTCTTAGTCTTCTAGTTTAAACTTTCATTTTTACAGAGGGAGAAACCAAAAACAAGAAATATGAAATACCTCATCCAAAATAGGAGTTGCTTTAGAGCTGTATTGCAAATAGCATAAGGTCTCCTAACTCTGTAGCCAGAGCTTCTTGTAAATAATAAAAAATAACCTGATCTTGACATAGTCTGGTAACAACCAGCAACATACAGCAACCTCTGTTGCTATCACTGACTTTGCAGCACTAGAGAGAAGAGAAAACCCTGGCAACAACTTGTATCAGCACCTAATCAAAATAAAGTTAAGGAAAATAGAGAGGTGCTGTATGGACAGACCCACCCTAAGGAATGTACTGGCAGATTGCAACAAGGTACCAATACAGCATTTTTAAAGTGTTTTGCAGACAGAGTCCATATGTTGTAACCAAACCGCAGGAGTGAACAGGTGAGACAGTAATCAAAAAGCTTCAATGTCACACAAAAGGCTCCTTTTTGTTTGTTTTATTGCAAAGCTTCCATTTTAAGGTGAATCATCCGTCCTTTTCTTCTGTCTCTTGAGGTAGTGTAATTAGAATGATGCTGTCTGTGAGAACCAAGAGTTCCAATACTCAGAGGTGTTCGCCGACTCCACGTCACAGCTATGAAATGAGTGAAAGTTAGCTAACTGCAGGTGGTGTTCAGTTTAACAGCAACCAATATAAAAGTGAAGACTTAGAGAACTGACACAATAGGAAGTGGTGGTTTATAATCACTAAAGCATTCTTTTATCCAGCACCCCTCCTTTATGCATTTTACAATTTAGTTTGATGGTAGCAGTAATTATATGCAAATTCTCTGTAATGCAACAGAAATAAGTCCAGTCAGCTTTACTGTTTGATCCCTTACGTGAAAATTATTTACCCACTGCTCTCTAAGGGAATGATCTTTTCCCTGCTCTGTTTATGAGCTAACCTCAGCATATGTCTAAAGTACAATTGAAGAGGCTAAACAGGTAGTATTCCAATGCAGCAATGGCGAAAAGGTAGAGAGGAAAGAGCCAGAAGTTGGTCTTCCACCCATTTCCCAAGTCTCACTCCCACTGCCACCCTCCCCACCCACCCACCCAGATGCCTACCCCAGCTCTAGCAGTGAAATATCCAAACATTACTGGAGTCCTTTGCATGCACAAATTCTCACATTTACACTTATAAATGTAACCTTCATCTCTCCTCCAACCTTGCTCCTCCAGCCCCAGCCCCAACCCCAGAATGTAAGTTGAAAGAAAGAACAGAGAGGAGAGTTGTATACAGGTTCAGTGTGTGGACTCTGGACCCAAACTACGTAGAATTTAATCTTGCCTCTGCTACCTACTAACTATGACCTAGGCAATTATTTAGCTTCACTTTCCCCTTCCGTATAATGGGGATTGAAATGAACAATTTAATTGGGCTGTTGTGGGAATTAAATGAGTTTCTATTTGAAAGCCATTAAAGTACTATCTGACATATAATAAGCACCACAAAAGGTTTGTAAATATATAAGCCTTTTCATCCCCTACTACTTCCATTTACCGTAAAAGCTCTACGTGGTGGTCATTACTAACACTAAATATCCAAGTTGCCTTTCCCACCTCTTTGGTGTTAGTTGTGGCTGCAAAACTACTTCTGGTCATTGAAATGTGAATGGAGGTGATTTGTCATTTGACCCTATTATCACAGCTCCCTTCCTGAAACATGTTCTTCCCTTGGCCAGCCTGGTTTAGAATACTGATGTATGATCTCAGTATCTTAATTAAATGATCTGTACCTGAGTTTCTTTATCTGTAGTAAGAAAATAATAGCATACATACTTCATATTGTATGCATTAAATGAGATAGTATAGGTGGACAGTATTGTATCCACATTTTTTAAATTGAAAGCTACAAAATCCTAGACTTCTTTTTCATAAATTTGTCACAAACTCATTTGCAAGAAAAACTTGACTTGGATAGTCATACAGCCATTCGTACTTTTTCTTCATCCCACTTTCTGTGGATATTGGCATGCTTAACTGAACAC